AGCTAAAAATGAAGTATAAAAACAATTCAATCAGGTAAAGCTTTAAGCATAAAATGTTCATGGGTGTAGGCTACATGACTTTACAAACATTTGGTATTAAATAAATTTCATTCAGTGTCAATTTCAATGTGCAGCAGCTTTTTTTCACGTACTCTATCTAATCTTTTCATGTAATCTAATCTTTTCACATAATTAAAAATTCTCTAATCCAACCTGTTACATTTCTTAATTAGAGTAATTAAATTAACATTTGACTTCTACTCAGTCAACAGCAAGAAGGCTCGCAAAATAATGAAGAACAGATGAAGAGGAGATGGCAATAATACCAAGTATTGGAAGAATACTAAAATCCAACAGTAAAAAAGAATAACTCTTGCTTTTGTATTTGTAGGAAATAAAGATGACCAAATAAATTGTGCATAATTTGTGTTTATGTAACAGCTGTGGTGGTTACAGCATATATCTCGGACTACACTTCCATATGGCATCCTTCCATTCCATATCTGTTTCATTTTTGGAAGGTGCGATGATGGGAATCTGCGTGTCATCAATGCAACCAACCCCACTGGAAATCCTGAAGGAAATTCTAATTATTGGGTTACTTCCAGAGGTTGCCATAAGATGTTATCAAGTGAACGTCAGCGAGGCACACCTTCGTTACCGCTCTGCATACAGCGGCCTTACTAATGTGCTCTGCATCCCCAATATAGAAACCTACCAAATGAATATGCATGTGGATATGGCACAAAAAATGTAACTCCCTACGAATTAATACAGCCTCCTCATCTACAGTATACAAGGACATCCCATTTTTGTCACTTTGACGGTGTCTGGGGTTTGAAGGGGGGAGGTGGGGGAAACAAAAAATAATCTTGTTTACGCTTGCATTAAGATGACTTTTCTTGCCCCATGGCAGATAATTTTACTTGTTTTAAGTAAAATGTACTTAAATGCACTTGTTTCCCCCCAGGAAACAAGAATAAACATCTTAGGCTATATTATTTTTCTCATATAGAAAATGCATCGTGATTTAAGAACTTTTAGATATTTGTACTTGAAATAAGAAAAATGTAAACATCGCTTACACTTTAAAAAGGGGGAGGAGAATACTCAAGCATTTTTGCAGGGTGAATGAATGAATGAGGTATTTAAACATCGCTTACACTTTAAAAAGGGGGAGGAGACTGTAAGAAACTCTGGGTTTACTGAAGAAAACCTGCTCCCGACCAGGGGTGCGTTTCCCAAAAGCATCGTTAGCTAACTATGGTAGTTAGTTCCATTGAAATCTATTGGTAACGACGGAACTTGCGAACCATAGTTGCTTTTGGGAAACGCACCCCAGGTTAGGTTCCTAGAGTAAGTTACCACGGTAACTGATTCTGAGTATAAGTTACCTCTCTTTCAGAAACGGGCTTGACTTACCCTGCTTTCTCGGGTTGACATACCTCCCATTCTGAAACGGAAAACCCAGAGTTTCCCTCATTTCAGGGTTTACATACTCAAAAAGTTTCACTTAACCTCCTTTCTGAAACGGGCCCCTGGTGCTGAGTTTGCATGTGGACAAACGGCCAAACCGCATAGAAAAAGCTGCGGTTTTGATAATACCCTGTGTTCAAAGAAACGGATATGGAATGGAAGGATGCCATATGGAAGTGTAGTCCGAGATATATGCTGTAACCACCACCACCACAGCTGTTACATATACCTGTCGTGTGGACAGGGCCTGAGTGAGAATTATATAAACACTGGGAGTGTTAGTTTAACACTGGAGGTTTTACTGTGTAAATTATGTGAAATATAATGTTGTTGTTTTTTTAACGAAACATTAACACGTTAGACTGCACCCTATAAACACAATCAAGCCTAGAAAAAAAAAATAGTTTACCACCCTTTTAAAGGAATAGTTCACCCAAATATAAAAAATTGTCATAATTTACTTCCGTGCATGCCATAACCTGTATGACCTTCTTTCTTCTGTGAAACACAATAGATGACGTTTTGAATATTGAGTAGTTTGGTACCATTGCCTTCCACTTGTGTGGACAAAAAATTAAAAAAATAAAACATTTCTCAAAATATCTTCTTTTATGCTCTACACAAGAAAGTCTTACTGTTTTCTAATTACTTGGGGATAAGTAAAGTGACGACAGAATTTAAATTTTTGGGTGAAGTATCCCCATGAATTGTTTTGGTTTGGCAGTATTTTCACACAGTTTTTCTGGTTTATAATATAACAACACTCACAGTAGTTTCTCCAGTTTACAGTGTGGATCCTCCAGTAGAGCAGAGAGCAGCTTCACTCCTGAGTCTCCTGGTTTATTACGACTTAGATTCAGTTCTGTCAGGTGTGAGGGGTTTGATCTCAGAGCTGAAATCAAAGCAGCACAGCCTTCCTCTCCAATACTGCAGTCCCACAGCCTGCAGACAGAAAGAGAAAAACAAGTAAAGTTATTAAAAGAAGCAATAATTAAAGGTTTGTTTTTGAAACAATGTCACACTATTAATCTCCATCTCTTCAGTAAAAATATGTCAGATTTGAAAAGTGTGTTTTCCTTTACATTTTCATTACATTTACATGTATTCATTTAGCAGACGTTCCCCATGCGGCCGCGCCATTGAGCGCCCTCTGCCGGGTGTTTTTTGCAAGGAAGGTTTTTGTTTGCTCATTGTTTCTGTTGGACTATTTTTTTCCTAAATACCCCGGCTGGATTTTTGTTCTTTTGAGGAATTTCCCTTTTTGTTTGGACTTATTAAAAATAAACTGTTTTCCTGCTGAAGCCTGCATCTGTGTCCGTGTTGTGTTCCTGACAGAACGATCTGGCCAAGATGGACACAGCAGGCCCAGATTCTGTCAGAACAGCAGTCACCCAGCAGGGAGTTCTTTTGGGCCACCATGTGTCGTGTTTTGTATCTGTCTGCATGTTGTGAGCACATGGTGTTTTGTTTTGATCGTTCGCCGTGTACTCCTCTGTGGCGTTCCTCCCTCCCTCTCGTTACCACCCTTACTGCTCATAATTGGTTGATTTCGCTCACCTGAATTCAATGTTTTGTTCATCTCTCGCTCTGTTTATTCCCATCTTGTGTGTCGTCCGGTGCCAGATCGCTGTTCGCCAGTTCGCCAATGCTCAGCCGCCCCGTCTGGTCCTGTCTAGTCCTGTTAAGTCGTGCCATTGCTCCCTCCCTGTCAGGTTTTTTGTTGCTGCTTCCAGTTGTTTTGTTTTTCTATTTCTCCTTCCTCGTTTCCTAGGCCGGGCATCTGCATCCCCGCAGAAGTTCTCTCGCTCCACTCGGACGCCGGCTCCCTCGCTTCTTCCTTCCCTCTCCGCTCTCTAATTCCCCATGCGGCCGCGCCATTGAGCGCCCTCTGACGGGTGTTTTTTGCAAGGACGTTTTTGTTTGCTCATTGTTTCTGTTGGACTATTTTTTTCCTAAATACCCCGGCTGGATTTTTGTTCTTTTGAGGAATTTCCCTTTTTGTTTGGACTTATTAAAAATAAACTGTTTTCCTGCTGAAGCCTGCATCTGTGTCCGTGTTGTGTTCCTGACAGAACGATCTGGCCAAGATGGACACAGCAGGCCCAGATTCTGTCAGAACAGCAGTCACCCAGCAGGGAGTTCTTTTGGGCCACCATGTAGCCAGACTGACCAACACCACAAGGGAGGTGGAGTTTCTGGCTAACCAAGTAGCTGAGCTTACCACTCACATTCAAGGGCTGCAGCGAGAAGCTGTCCAGGGTGGCCCAGTTCATCCTCTTCCTCGTCATGAGCCTGAGCCCCGATGCAACAACCCACCGCCCTATGATGGAGATCCCAACTCCTGCCGGGCCTTCTTGTCCCAGTGTTCTGTGGTCTTTGCCCTACAGCCACGCACATATGCACTTGAGGAGTCCAAAGTGGCTTTTGTACTGACGCTTCTAACTGGGAAGGCTCGAGACTGGGGAACGTCTGTCTGGGAGACTCAAGCTCCCTGTTGTGCATCATTTGATGATTTCCGCCAGGAGATGGTGAGGCTGTTTGACCGCTCTGCCAGGGGTCAGGAAGCAGCCGACCAACTAGCACGGCTTCGTCAGGGGGGTCGTTCAGTCATGGAGTATGCTATCCAATTCAAAACCCTGGCAGCTTCCTGTGACTGGAATGAAGGGGCCTGTCGATCCATGTTCCGTGCAGGGCTGGAGGATGACATTCAAGATGAGCTGGCCACTCATGACTTGCCGCATGATTTTGACGACCTTATCAATATGGCATTGCGGATCGAGCGTCGCCTTCGCCGCCGCCGTCAGCGCCTGGCAGTTCGTCCGTCCTGGAGGGCAGAGGAGTTGTCTCCTGTTTCCCCTACAGACTCCTTGAACATTTCTTCCACTGAGCCTGAGCCTATGCAGGTGGGACGCCTTCGCCTCACTCCCCAACAGAAGCAGCAACGTCTCGCCCTAGGGCTGTGCCTGTACTGCGGCAAGCCTTGTCACTTTGCATCAGGCTGTCCTTTAAAAGCCAAGGCTCGCCAGTAAAGAGGGGGATCCTGGTGAGCGCTACCCCTTTATTGCATTCCCCCTACTCTCGTACTCTCCTTCCTGTTTCTATTCAGTTTGGTGACTTTTCTAACTCCTGCTCGGCACTGATTGATTCAGGAGCCGAGGGCAACTTTATGGATAGCTCTCTAGCCACCCAGTGGGGGATTCCTGCCAT